TTTATTTGCAATTCTGCCATCTCCTCTGCTTAGCTGTGGCTTTGTGCCTCTCTGCTTTTCCACCCAGGTCATGTTACCTTGTCTGTTCAGACAGTCCTTCTGGTGAACAGCTTAAGACTTGCAGTGTGGAATGTACAGGCTTTAGAGAACTACAGTTTTACTATAAAAAAATAAGTAACCTCCTTGGTAGACAGTTAATGTGTTTATTTAATTTTTTATTTATGCTGTCTTGTATACCTCTTGTACTTACTTTGTAAGTGTAGAACGTACCAGATTCAGTATTTTCCTTGAAGAGTTTTTATTTAAGTACCTAAACAACAGGTCAGACTTCCTGTTGTTCTCAGTTTCCTAATGAAGACAGACTTACTTTTGTGCAGTGGTTTCTAATTTTTCTATTTGGCCAGTGCTAAAGTTTTTGAAAGCAGGAAAACAGTAAGCATTATATTATGTAAGTCCATTATCTTGCAGATCTTAAACCAGTAAATAAAACATACTGTTCAGAAGACTGTGTTAACATCTGCCTGACCTGTTTGCACTAAGATATTTTTGTAGCTAGTTGGTGTTGAAACGTGTAAACTGGGACTGCTAGATCAGCTTCATCTTCCTTCAAAGCAGAATAATTCAGGAAATACTTAATGAAGGGGGTGGCTAATGGGATTTTATATTTCTGTATGTACGTATGTGTATATATCTGTAAAATGTCTGATTGTAGGAAAACAAAAAAAAAGTGTTTTCAGTTTTGAAATGACAAGAAGTTTTTGTACCAGCATCCTCCTGACCCACATTCCAGGATATCTTCAGTTGAAGGATCTCATCTGATGTGAAACAGGAGCAGTGTTCAAAGAAAGCAAAAGTTGTTTGCTGAAGTTTCTGGGAATCATGTGAATTTGTAATGCATCAATTGATACTTGCTTTGCTGGCTAGTATGTGCGTGTTGTTGATACTCAGTTTACTGTTTCTTGTTCTGCAGAAATACTGGAAAATGTAAGATTAATACATAAACCAGTGTCACTGCAACCACGAGGGCTTATCAACAAAGGAAACTGGTGCTACATCAATGCTGTATCCTTGCCTTGGAAAAAAATATTACACTTAACTTAAAATGTGTGTATTGTAGTTGTCAGAGTTTTTCTGGATTATCCTGGTGAGTATTTTGTGAGAGAGTTTGTTGTCCCATATCCCACTACTGTGGATAAAATGTTTTAAGAGTAGGATCTAGAAATCCAGGGGTATTTTGAATCATTGAGCCTTGTGTCCTGAGTTCCCCTGCAGCTGCTTGCACAATTTTGTTTTGCAGTTTCGCTCTGTAAGCTCTGTCAAAATATCTCAGAACTAACTTTCTTATGACTGAAAACCTTGGCATTTCTAGTTACATTTACTCGTGACTCTTTGTGCATCAGCTGCATACAGTGGTTGTATCTCTTTTGTAACTATTTGTACTCCTCAGCATTGGTTTGGCAATTTGGTTAAGTGTATAAATTGGTTTTCTGTTGAGCAGGCTATTGCTGTCATATCATTTGTGCAAATGCAGTATTTAATTACAATGAGTTGGAAGATTAGCTCATTCTTAATGAATTAGAATTGTATTCCCCTGCACATAGAACTTCTACCTTGGGTAACAGAAATTTCTTTCTTCAAGTGTTGTGTTCTGTTAGATATGTCAATTAAAATGTATTTTTAATAACTATACTGTGTCAGCAGTGCCTCACTGGACGTGACTGCTAGGATACTTCAACTGCTAGTACTTCTAGTGAATAATATGAAGATAAATTTCAAGCCTGTTCATTGTAGAACCCAATAACCTCTTTCTAGACCAGTGATTCTGATTTAAACATCTTCTATTTCGTGTATCCAGTTCTGCATTCATCTGATTCTATGTATTAGTTCCCCTTTTTTTTTTTTCAGTTTTAAAATGTTGTATGGGAATTTGTGACTCAATTTTGGCACACTACAGGAATCAAGTTAGCAGATCTCTCTTGCTGTTGAGATCTCTGCCTTTTTGATTGTTTCCCTGCCCCTCCAGTCTTTTATTACATTTCCTCTGTTCACTGTTCTCACCAAGTAGCACGGATTTTGATGCTTTTCAAGTATTTTCTCCCAGCATCCATTGTCATTGTACTGGTTTCTCCAAACTGTTCTTTACACTGCTGTTTTCACATCACAGCAGGTTTTATTGGTTTACTTTGGTTCTGGAAGTGAATCATCACCTTTAACATCAAGTCTCTCAGCTGCCTTCTTCCATTCCTTTCAGAAAACATGTTACAAGTTGATGCTTGCCAATTTTCACACTGTTTAAACTTTTTCCTGTCCTGCTCCTAGGCTCTTTCCCCTTTAATGAGAGTTTTTGACATTACTAAAATGTCAGTGAAATCACTGCATGTTAAAAGATGCTGGGGTATTTTAGTATAATTTCTCTACATTATGAATGTTGTGATAGAGATCCAACCATCTATTCCAATTTAATTATTGATTGGTCTGCATAATAAAGCTTTGTTTTGCATATAGTTTTAGGCATAAATGGTTGATACCATTATTGATACCAGATTACATTTGCTGACTATTTCCTTAATGCCACTGCAAAGACCCTGCAAGCCTTGGTTGCTTGTCCTCCAATGTATCATTTAATGAAGTCCATTCCAATGTATTCAAAATCGCAGCGGCCGTGTACCTCGACACCAATGATAGACAGTTTGTAAGTAGCTTGTTAATCAAATAAAATCTGTGATCTGAATAAGCTCGTTCAGGAATATCTGACAAATGATTGATTTCTGCAATTGTTGAAGGTGATATATATCCAGAAGTTTGGTTTGGTTTGGTTTTTTTTCCTGGTGATACATGGCTTTTATAACAAGCGTGTTGGTTTACAGTTGCTTGACAAGACAAGGAAGGTACTTCCTATTGCCTGAGGAGTATCAGTTTTAAATAGTGTTAAATATGCATAAGTGAACCATAAGAGCTGCAAGAACTAACCTAATACCTTGGATTCCTTAGCAATTATCACATTAATTTTTATATCTGAACTTTACTCAGGCTCATTATGGTATTTTTTTATTTTTATTATTTTTGGCAGTCAGTAATGACAATGATGAATTTTACTATTTGTCCTTCTAAGTCTTAACTTGCTGCTCATCTCTAGTTGTTCCATTCTGTTTCAGTGTTCGTTTAATGAATGAATTCACTAATATGCCTGTACCTCCTAAAGCAAAACAAGGTGAGTGGGAGTAGGGGGAGAAAAGTCTTAAAAACATGCTGTGAAGGCTTTGGGGTAAGGATCTGCTTTGTGTGATGTACTTAAGACTTCTAAGTACTGGTGCTTGATCCCTTTACTGTCTCTTTGGACTTCTGCTGTTGCTTTTCTGTCAGTCTTATGCTTTTCCTTGTTGGCTTTTTATGCCAAGAAATCATAGGTGTGTGGCAGCTTCTATTTTTTTCTTCTATTTGGTACTTCAAGCTTAATGCAATAGGAATAGATTTTGTTGAAGGTTTGCTTTATTTGAAATATGTCTTTTAAGAACATGCCCTTTCTAACAGATTTGATGTGCTCTGTGTTTTACTCAGTTCCTCACATATTTCCAGTTCTTTGGTTTATCAGCTTGCTCAGTTCTAACATTCTTCGTTAAACACTGAAAACTCACATTGATTTGGAACAAAATTGGGCCATGGAGTGTTTCTGTAAAACAAATCTTACTGTCTTATGCAACTTAGTGTACTTCTAGGTCATGTTATTGTATTGTGCAGTTTTCACAGAGTTTCTGAGACCTTGTATTACCCTTAGATTGAGCATTCTGTCAAACTGTATCTTGTTTTTGGGATTTTTTTCTGCAGTGATTAGAGTGATCTATTAGTGTAAATATATAAAAGATTTACGGAAGTGTTCTTTGAATACAGAAGACCTACAAAATTTTAAATAGAACCAGAATTGTTCTTTTATGATGTATATGTATGTTCTTGTTAGTCTTTAGAGTGTTGACTATAAAAAGAGAGTGCTAACTTTTCCAGACCATCCGTTAAGTCTGTGCAGAGTGATTTTAAAAACAAATGTTTACAGGTAAGAGTTGTATCTTAGGAATTCTGAGCTCAAGTCACTGAAATAGCACTAAAACTTTGTAAAAGATCATGTTGGATTCCAAAATGTAGTGCTGTGTAATGAGGATGTTAAGGTACAATGTAGAAAAACTTGTATGTATTATTATTTATATGTACTTCTCTTTGCCTTGCAGCTTTAGGTGAGAAAATTGTGAGGGACATTCGACCAGGAGCTGCCTTTGAACCTACATACATTTATAGACTTCTGACGGTTATAAAGTCCAGTCTGTCAGAAAAGGTGGGACTTAAAAATCCTTGACTTTTGTCATTGCATTTCAAGGCAGTCACTGTCATTAAAACAGTGTAAAGCCATACATACAGGTTCTGTGCCTAAATGTCACTAAAATCAACAAGTTGATAGTTCAGTATAATGAAATTAGATGGTCTTGGACTTAAATTAGAGGAAGATAAGCATTCCAAGTTGGCGGTGGGATATGTCAGAATAATGAAAAACAATTGGAAGGGAACATCTGTTTTTATAATGAAGATACCTATTGATTCATATTTAAGAAAGGAGCAGTTGTTCGTTTCTGCTTAGGATTCAGTTTGGACTGATTGAAGGTCCACAGAGACTTCAAAGTACTGTTTCAGGTTTCACTTCAATTTGAAGAAAAGATAGTGGTTCTTTTGATTTGGTTTGACAGCAACTTTTAATATTGCTTTTAAAAGAAATAGGAAAAAAAATAATGACCAACTCATGTTAAATCAAATTTGTATTGAAAAGAATGCAGGAGTGTTTATGTCCAGCTTGTGTGTACACTGGCTGTTTATGGCAGGTTACCAATTCATGTGTAGGTTCTTTTTGAACTGGTTAAAAATGAGGGGTTGTTATATTAAACTTTAAACTTTGTTTGACTTTAACACTTAGACTTTGGTCCAGTAGCCAAATTAATAGGAGAAGCCTAGATATTCAGTGTCATTACCCTTCTGTTAAAATGAAACCATGAAAATTCCATATAATAATTTAAATAAACCCACATTTTATTTAGGGCAGGCAAGAGGATGCTGAAGAATACTTGGGATTTATCCTCAATGGACTACATGAAGAAATGCTGACTCTAAAGAAACTTCTCTCTCCACATAATGAAAGTTAGTGTTGAGTTGTTTGGTTATTTTTGTAGAAAACTTAATTTCTTTCAAATATTCTCCTTTTCTCAGTGGTGATTCTATAATACAGAGCAGTGTTTCAAACAGATGTTGAGATAGGGATAGAGTGCCATGTTTTAGGGGACTCAAAGACATGAACAAATAATAGCTTGTTAAAATCTGTCCAGAGGATAAAATGAGTCCTCTCTCTCCAATTTACAAAAGACGTGAAGTGTGACTGGGTGTTTTGAAAAGCATTATCATTCTGTAAACACTCTGGGTGACAGTAATAATGTGATTTACCCAGTCCTTCCAAACAACTAATTTGTGTATTGCAAATGTTGACTGAGCTCAACTGGGCATTATTTGAGGCACGCTTGAGTAGTCTTGTCTCAAGCACAGGTATGTTTGTCTGCCAGTCCTGCAGTGCCAGTGTTGACTGGTGTTCTGGCTCTCCCTGTGGTAGTTCAGAAATGTGTCAGTGTGTTTCCTTACTGATGTTCAAACCACTGTTCATTAAAATCTTGTGTTTTGTTGGGTTTTTTTGTTTTTTTGGTTTTTTTTAAGTGGAAACTTCTAGGCTAATGGCTAATTTATATCTAGTATAAACCAGAATATAATAAATTTATTTAAAATTCTTATTGACAAAGTTGGAGAAGTATGTTCTGTCAAATAACTTTTAACATTTGTGTGCCCAATGCAGTTTTATTTTACAGTGCCTTAATGTTTGGATCTCCTGTTAAAAATGAAACAAAACACTGTTAGTCTTAGCCAAGGATAGAATTAAGAACACTAGTTATCCCATTTCTCTTTAGTACAGTATTTTTTTTTATTATATAAAATGATCATTCCATATTTTGTTCTTCACCTGTGTGTGGTTTACAGCCTCCTGACTTTAGCACTGGCAAAGAAAATATTTGCTAAGCCTTGGCTTCCCTGTAAAATACCTGTGCAGAAAAGGAGTTGTGTTTAATAATGGCACAATTATATTTCTAGAATAACACTTGGCTTTCTCATTTTCCACCCCATAAATTTACTGCTAAAAATAGATCAAACTTTGCTAGAAAACTGCATCTGTTTACATACAGTCATGAGTGAGCTGTGTTCTGTGAATGCACGTCCAGCTATGAGTGAGCCTTCCTGAAATCTAATGTATGGAAACATTCTGTCCTCAGAAAATCTGGTCTGGGTGTTTTCTTTAATTTTTTTCCCCTATACACATGTTTATTTGTACAAATACTCAGTGCATTTTTTTTTTCCCCTTCTTCACTTGAAGAACTCTCGGTTTCCAACGGCCCTGAGGCACAGACTGTTCCTGAGGAGGAGGAGCAAGGGGAAGGCAGTGAGGATGAATGGGAGCAAGTGGGGCCTCGGAACAAGTCTTCAGTCACTCGACAGGCTGACTTTGTTCAGACTCCAATTACTGATATTTTTGGAGGTCATATAAGGTATAGTACTTCTTCCTAAAAGTTGCTGAGGCCGCAGGCTGCTTTGCCTTTACAAATAATGTTTTCTCTGCTTTGCTTTCTGTATTTCTTCACCATGATTGGGTAGTTGGATAGAAGAAAGTGGTTTGGTTAAGTTTGTTCAGGCCAGGAGTTTTTGTTTCAGTTGGTTCTTGTTATGCAAGAGAGGGTTCAGAAAATGGGCCAGAATGATGAAGGATTGATGAAAGATCACATGATTCTGTGACTTGTTATAGAGTCTGAATCCTGTATGTCTAGAAGGAACAGACTATTTAGAGAACAAAAGCCCTGAATTGCATATAGAGAAGAGTTTGAAGTAATTACATTTTCTGTATTGATATTAATGTCCAAGCTGCTCAATTCTTGTGACCTCTGAGGAGTCTTGACTCATTTTAAAAACAAGGATACTAAGGGATAGTGAAATTTGTTAAGAGTTAAATCTGGTCAGTAAATCAATTAAATTAAATAAAATAAAAAATGGCAACATTTTTATTATCTAGACACTTATGCTTCCCAGAGACAGGAAGGTTTTGTGTAATAGTTTGTACTAATTAGCAGGTTTGACTGAAAGTATGAACTTACACGCTGAATGAGCTGCTTTAAAAACAAACGATAAACCTGAATTTTACCAATAAAGGAAAAAACATGGAAGAACAATCAATCAACCTTCCTTCAGTGGAAAATTTCTAACGTGTCTCGTTTCACAGGAGACAATATCTAAGTAACCTTAATAATAGTGTGCACTAAAGAATGTGACATTGCTTACAGTCAAGGTCTGATACCAGCTGAAGGCAGAAAGCAGATACTCAGTATTTTTTGGAAAGGAAGTCTCATGACTTGTTTGGAGAAATGTTGTAATTTAAAATGAAAGCAAGGTAAACACTTCCTAAAAACGTGTCAGAACAAAAATGCTGGACTCGAGCATACATATTCATAATAAAATTGGAAACAGACACTTAATTGTTGGTGTTTGGCTCCCTGTGTTTCCAGATACTCACTCTAGAGGTGTCAATAATGTGGACCGAGTGCCTTCTGCCTGTGAAATGCACTGAAGTTACTATTTGAGTCAGACAGCTGGCAAATAAAATATTTTCCATAGAAATTGACAGACAGATGTTTGTACATATTGATGAAGTTCCTTGTTGATTGTATGCTCGTGTACCCAAGGTATTGATAATACCTTCTGAATATTTATCACAATCAGAATTGTTTAGATCTCTACATTATTCCATTAGTTTTAAAACTAAGACTACTAAGAGAACTGTTCTGTGGAAGTTCACATAAAATGACTGAAGGCAAAGGTAGTACTGAAAAAACCAAACTTCCCTGAGCAACAGAACCACAGGGTTCAATCCAGCATCGGTTGTCTGTTGTCACCACACCCATTTCATTTAGCCTCAAACTAGGTCACACAACTCACCACAGAAACAGTATCCATGTGGTGATGATGGAAAGCTTCATCCTGGGAGGCTGAGGGTGGAGATAGGAAGGATTGAATACAGGATTGACAGCTGGATGAAAGTGTCAGAAATTGGAGAAATCAATGGAAAAAGCAGCTAGGAAAACATCCTTTGAATTGGCATCTTCTGGCTTAGGAAACCTTATGCTGTCCTGAAGGCTTTAATTGTGTATTAATGCCTGTTTAGGCATAATTGCTAAAAAAAAAACAAATCAAAAAAACTTTGTGCATTGCAAGACTTGAATGTTTTAAATTCAAAGACACACAGTTTATCTGCAGAAGCCCCCTTTGACTTTCAGCTTATGTGAATTTCAAATACTGGTTATGCAAACTAGCTCACAAGTCAGTTAGGAGTCTGCTAAATATTTCTGTAGGTAGTATCAGCTTTTTCTTTCAAATGCACTGTTGTTTTTGAAAAGAAAGTGCTTCCATGACATTGTTGTAGTTGCAGTGGGGTAGCACTGCCTGAAAAATTCTTACTGTAGATGAATTACTCATGGAAAATGATGCATTTTCCCATGAACAATTAAAATTTTAAATGTTACTAATAAGAGCCATTGTTATAGGAGGTCACAGTCCAGCAAAGGTTTTGCTATCAAATCAGTTTTTGCATGTCTGAAGAAATGTTTTGAAGTAATGTTGCAATTGAGTGTTTAGTATTTTTTTAAAGAAAGCTTTTTTCTTAGTATTGTCTTTTCAGAACATTATTATCAAATAATTCTTTAATACATGGGCAGTGGAAATGCACTGAAAACAGTTGGAGTTGTTAGCATTTTTTCTCTTGATTATTATACTAAACAGTGGTTAGCTGGATGAGGTTTTGGGAAGTGTGTCCAAAAGCAGCAAGACTAACAAAGTAAAGGTTTGTTTGTTGAAACACTGCACTTGCCATGGCTTGGAAGGTTTTGTCCCTAAGTATAGCCAAGGAGGAAGTGAAATAAAGATGCTACTGTTTTCCATATACTCTCTTTCCTCTAAGGGATATATATTTGCCAATATGAAGATCTGTTGGCTTTCTGCTGGTACTTTAGGGCTTTGCTATATTAATTATCTTATTATTTTCATGCCTTGTAAGGCAGTCATAACAGGCATAACAGTATAATAAATTACTTTTTGGCTGTAAAAAACACCACATTTTTGCAGCAGCTGAAGCTTTTTAATATAAGTACTGCTTTCAAAATAAAACAATACATTCTTGAGCTGTGATTGGTTTTAAGTTTTCAGCATAGTTCAAGAAAACTGAGAATTGGGAAGAGTCCACTTAGTGCAGTGACATTATGGCTGAGGAGTGTACAGTCTCACTGCACAAAACAGTGATCACCAAGCCAGGCTCCTTAAGGGCTGCCACTGAATACACTTCAAAAAAAATTAAACCCAAAAAAACAGGAAGCATGTTCTCATGCTCTAGGTTGTCACTCCTGCCAGTTTTCCAAAAGAGTCCCATTTATGTACAAAGGAGTACAGGGATAGAGTCTGGGCACAGAAAATGATGGGAGGAAAAGGAAATGCCAGTGCTCAATGGAGCATATTTTATATTTCCTATGGCAAGATTTAAGCAAACAGTTTAAAATCACTGTGAAATTTGTCTTAGTGAAGTGACTAAAAATGTGTGTATTTTTTTTTTTTGAGAATCTGGAATCAATTGTATTTTTTACAGTAAAACACACAGGTAAGCATTAATATTTTGCAATTCTGAAGAAAACATAATTTCAAAACTGTAACACAGGAAGAGCCCAGAGGTGACTATTTTTAAAAGCATTCTCAGAAGTTTCACTGTTTTTCTTACCCAATAACTGTTTCAATTCTGGCATAAGTAAATCAAATCAAATATAATCCCATTCAGTTTTCTCTTAAGTGGAGGTGAAAACAATTTAAATCGCACTAAATAGGATTCAGGTTGTACTCACTTATGCTTAACTTTTTTATTCAGGTGTGTTTTTTTGGTTTAATTATAAATTGACTTACCAAGGCAGAGACTTCAGTCCATTCTTACTTGAAGGTTCTGTATGGCTGAAAATTACTCTGCTTTATTCACATTTTAACTTCTTTTCATTCCATAGATCTGTTGTTTACCAGCAGAGTTCTAAGGAGTCTGCTACACTGCAACCTTTCTTCACCCTGCAACTGGATATCCAGTCAGACAAGATCCGCACAGTTCAGGATGCGTTGGAAAGTTTGGTGGCAAGAGAGTCTGTCCAGGGTTATACCACAAAAACCAAGCAAGAGGTGTGTTCTGTTGACCCCTTTTTACAGTCAAATAGTGAACTTCTTTTAAAAGGGTTTTAATACAGTTCTTGCTTTACAAATCGTTACTTGAACACTGTGACTTATGTTGACTAAGCGGTTTCTAACCTTTTCAAATTGTTCTGCAGCACAAAAATGTATTGAACATTTAGACTGAAAGGAAGAGAACTAATTCTTAACAAAACCATGCCTGTAAATAGGAATGTTTTCTGAGTTGTGGAGTAATAGGTTAGAGATTTTACTGGAGTGTTTATTAAATAAAGAGGGTGAACTGTGGGAATGAGACATCCTATTATGAGTAAAACCACTTTTTGCTGATACTCACATACTGTTTCCTGGGGATTGCCAGATATTCTTAGTGAAGGGGCTCTTCAGTGTATTGTTTGAAAGCACTCTAGCTTTTAGAAGACAACTCTTGTAGCAAAGCACTTGCTTGGATGGTTGTCTGTATGGCTGTGCTCGATGGCTTTTGATGTACACATTTCACTTACAAATCAAAACTGAAAATATTCACTGGAGGTAGGCCTGGTAGAAGGCCACCTAGAACCTTGCTATCACATTTTATGACTGCTGTATTTCTCTTGGGATTAATAATCTGAAATTTTGAATAGCCAGTAGCACCTCTGTTCGGTGTCCTTGGCACTTAGTTGTCTGGTTTGCTGTGCACAGCCTTAAAAAAACAGCTTGTCAGTAATGCTATATTCAGTCGTAGATAATTGTTTCAAAAAAATATTCTTCACAGCTGAAGAATGTCTAGAAAAAAGCAATCAAAATAAATAGTAATATAGCAGTTGTGATGTAAAAGGAATGAATAAGAGGGAGATGTTCAGCATCAGGAAGGAAGAACATAAAAGTAGAGATGGAACCTAAAAATATGTCACAAGAAAAAAGAAAAGAAAAAAGACTGATTTTTCTCAATGATACCCGAAACAGTAATGGACTAGGTGCTACCTATGGGGCTTGTAGGATTTAGGGCATGAGCAATAGCTATGGGAAAAAAATTCCTTCCCATAATCTTTCCATCGTTGTTCTCCAAATGTGTCAGGTGGAGATCAGTCGAAGAGTGACACTGGAAGAACTTCCCCCTGTTCTTGTTTTACACCTCAAGCGGTTTGTATACGAGAAAACTGGTGGATGCCAGAAGCTTATCAAGAATATTGAGTATCCTGTTGATCTGGAAATTAGTAAAGGTAAAGATTTTATGATAGAATTTTCTCCTCTTTAGGGAAGAGATAATGTTGTGTATCTTAAGGATTGCATTTCAGTTTTCTTCTCCGATGGTGTCTGGAAACTTTGTTTGGATTAATATCTTGTATGCTGCTTTTTTCTTCTTTTTTTTTTTTTTTGCTTAAAAAGAATCTCTTTGGGTTTCTGGGTTCAGTCTTTCATGCATTTAAAAAATAACATTATGGTGAAAGATCGTAAAACCTGTGGCACATCCTAGACATTGGGTTTGCCACAAAAAAGCTTCCTGCATATTTGAGGAATGAGGTTATAGACTGCTGGGGACAAAGATTGGAAATTATCCTGGTGAGTGAGGGGTGTGGCATTGCACAAGACTGTTGCCAAATAATAGTAGATACTTTTAGCTCACATTTGATTCACAGAAATAGCAAATTATTTTCATAAACGGTGGCTGATGAAAGGAAACAGGGCATTTTATAGAAAATGCAGTCTGGAGGCAGACAAGTAAGCCATGGTTCAGGTGTTAAACAACAAAGTTCTTTCTTTTAACAAAGACCTTAAGAGATACTGATCTTGCAAAGTGTGAGTTTGCATAAAATCCAGCATCTGAAACTTGACAAGTTAAATGCATGTTGTTTGGATCTGGCAAACTGGCTGTTAGTCAACCAGTAGTCCAACTAGGAAAAAATGAACTTAATGATTGTTCATATCTCAAGTATGTACTTTATATATACACGTTGTCAGTCAGTACCCTTTTGTTTTACTTAATATTTTATTTTAAAAATTCCTTGAAGCATCTAGATTTGTAGTAGTTCAGTTTGCCTTGACTGATAGAAGTGATTGTAGTATGACTGGGCATCTGAAATTGATTTTGCCATTGTCTAAAAAGGAATGAAAGAGGGGAAAAAGCAGTAATAAGTCTGATCTTTTGTCCTGTTTTGGGAGGTTTTCTTTGGGTTTTTGGGGGCTTTTTTTGGGTTTTTTAAATTTTTTTGTGTGTGCTAGTTTCAAATCTTGCATAAATGTTATTGTTCAGGAAACCTCAAAATTCATTCCCTTGATCACCAGGTATCAGAACCATGACTATTTTTAAAGCTGCAGAAGACATTTTAATTAAAAACTTTCTCCTTTATGGTAGTGTTGTTTTTTCTTAGAAATAATGGATCCCTTTGCAATTGAATTTCCAAACTTGCTAACTATTGCCTTTGTGACTTTTTTTTTCCTCCTCCAGAGCTACTATCTCCTGGTGTGAAAAGTAAAATTTTTAAAGGCCAAAGAACCTACCGGCTCTTTGCAGGTATTTTATCTATATGCCTCTAGTCCCTCTATTGAAAATACAAATTCTGCATATAGAGTTCTAGAAACACTGGAGTTTCCTGGATATTTTCTTTTTAAACTACACTGAAGTGGCTTGTGGGTGTCAAATTCTTGTATTTAATGGGGTTTTTTGCATATGTGAACATACACATCTATTGTTATATTTGTATTTATTTATCTCCCTGACCCAGCTTTGTGCAAAAACAGTTCTGTGACAGATCCACCCTGAAAAATATCAGCAGAAGCTGAAATATGGCTGTAAAGTAGCTCAGCCTAAAATATACCACATAGATTTGAAACATTCTTCTGAGACTGTTTTGAAATGACTGTGTGAATGCTGGCTTTACACCACTTTGAGCCCTCAAGATGAGTATTGCTGGCAGGGTGTGAGTAGCAGATTGTAGGTGGATGAGTTTAACGTGGAGGGGAGGATGATTGTGGGGAAATGATGCTTCTAGTAGTGTCTGCAATGCATGTGGAATATCTGAATTGGTAGTTAGGAAGCTCTTGTAAGAATTAAGAAGCAGCATTTTGATATTGAACAAAACACTCTCTGGGCAGAAATTACTTTCCTCAAGTTTAGAAGTCCTGCACAGTTTCTCATTTGCACCTGCTTATTTGTGTTGACATCAGGAGAACATAAATCATCCAGTTCTCCAGTTTATTAACTCCAGTGTCACCAAATCTGTGCCAGTACTGGTGGTCTTCTGTGACTCCATGGTTTGGAACCAATTTTGGGACACCTGAGGTTACAGAAGAATATAATACACCCATCTCTTGTGGAAATTCAGGACTGTTCCTGGCAGTGTTATTATTTTTTTAATTATTCTTTTACTGACAGTAGTTTTCATGGGACAAGTTTGGACAGCTTATGTGAGGTGACAACAAGAAAATGTGTTGCTAATAATTTTTTCTGCCTCCTTCTGTGGAAAAGTATGATACTTCAGTCTTCTGTCAGGACTTCTCATCCACAGAATCTGAGCAGGTTACATGAAATTTAAATTACTAAAATAAGCTTTTGAATTATTCAAGTTTCAGAGATCATCCAGAATTTGCCTAAGTATCTAGCAAAAAATTTCAGAAGATAAGTAATTCAAGTTTAAGCTGCTGTAAAAAAAAACCACCTTCCTAAATTAGTAAAAAATGTGTAGATGTAGTATATTCTGCCTTTTTTCTTTGCTTATGTCAAATTATTCTAAAGTGTTTATTTTCAAAGAAGTGTGAAGAAAATCTGAGTAAGCTGGAAGTGGGACTCTAGTCTGAAAGTGTAAATGGTTTCATAATTTTACACTTCTGCTCAAATATGTGTCAAATATGGCAGTTACTTCAGGTTTTTGTTTTTCTCATGCATATGGTTGGGGCTCACCTGTTCCTGGAAGGAGTCAAATGCAGTTTCTTATGCATCCCTAGAATTAGATACATAAAAGATGCCCTTTGGAGGCAGTTGCCACTCCTGGTACTGAGAGCTGAGCTCTAAGCTTGGGGTTCTGCAAGGAGAGCTGAGATGTCTTTTCTGCAGAACACTTGTGACAACACAGAGAAGTGAGGAATGAAGCCAGTTTGATTCTGTCTTGGGAGTAGCGGTATTAGCCGTTAATCAGAGGTGTTCAGGTCACAAATTCAAGGAGGTTACAGAGAACTAGTTTGTTGGGTTGTTGGTTTTTTTTTTTTCTAAAAAAAAAATATTAAAAGGTCAATTCCTGACATTTGTAATCAACCCCATTGGAAGAGTCGTGTCTGGTTTTTTTATAGATTACCACATAGTTTAACCTTTGGAATATTTTTAAAAATTTTTTGGTTACAATCAGTTCCAGTAAAACAATGTCAGCAGACAGGGAATATGAAGCATGGCAGTACCTGTTGGAAGCTGTAAAGGGTGTGCTGCACTGTTCCATATGGCCTTTGTGAAGCAAACCCTCCCCAGAAAACCCTCTAGGAAGATATAAAAAACATCTTGATGCTTTTGAATCTTAATTTACTCAAACCTCCTTTTAGAATCATGAGATCTGGCATGCTGGAGAAGCATTACTGCTAATACCTAGCATGAAATGTGAGCAAGGAAGCAACTAAATGCTTCAAGGTTCCTTCTTAAGCCAAACCTTACTGTTGGTAAAACCATGAGTGTTCTGTGGAGAAAGCACCCAGTGGGATTTACATGGTACCCTTCACTCTCCAGTGGCAGGAGTTCAAGCAGCCTTTAGCAAAGTAACTTTAAGGATCTTGACTTGATGACCTCACCAAGATCTCTCACTACCTACAAGAAGGATCTCTCACTACCTACACTTGGGCTGGGAAAGTGTTGCAGGAGCAGGCTCTCAAGGGGGCCTATAAGAGGGAATTAATGTAGACCAAACCAAGGAGACAGATGGTGTTAATTGTTTCTTTAGAGCCTCTCTGTGCTTAGCCTAGTTCCTAAAAATAAAGAAGTGTCTGTGCCTTCAAAGTATTTGTTCTTTATGTTGGATAGCTAGTCTCTTTGAATGAATAATACTATTAATCCAAAGGAAATTAGTAGATAAGTGTAAATATATTTGTATTACAATACAGAAATGAAATATGTATCCATATAGCTTAATTTTTAATTTTTATACTTTTTTTTAAATATATATATATACACACAAAGACACATTTACAGACACATTCTGTTTATGAAAATTATGTTTACTATGACTGGGGACACCTCATAGTAGCCTTCCAGTATCTGAAGAGGGCCTACAGGAAAACTGGGGAGGGACTTTTTACTAGGGCAGGTAGTGAGAGGAGAAGGGGTAATGGATTAAAACATGAAGAGGGGAGGTTTAGATGGGACATTAGGAGGAAATTCTTTAACATGAGAGTGGTGAGACACTGACCCAGGTTGCACAGGGAAGCCCTGGCTGCCCCATCCCTGGAAGTGTTCCAGGGCAGGTTGGATGGGGCTCTGAGCAACCAGGTCTAGTGGGAGGTGTCCCTGCCCATGCAGGGAGATTAGATCTAGATCATCTTCAAGGTCCCTTCCAACCCAAACCATTCCATGATTCCGTGAGCTATTTTTTCTCAATTGACTTTCTCAGCGGCTATTTCTCTCGGTATAACCCATTCCTGCATCCCATGTTTCTCTTGGCAGTTGTCTATCACCATGGAAACAGTGCAACTGGTGGCCATTACACTACGGACGTCTTCCAAATTGGCCTGAATGGCTGGTTACGCATCGATGACCAGGCAGTCAAAGTGATCAACCAGTACCAGGTGGTGAAGCCGTCAGCAGAGCGCACAGCCTACCTCCTGTACTACCGCCGAGTCGACCTGCTGTGAAACTTCTCCCCTCTCTGCTATGTGTGCAAGATACCTGCTTTGTAGAACGCCAACTATCACTAACTTTTTTCTCCTGTAAATGCTCTTTTGAGTGAATCTTTTCTCTTCTTTTCCCCCCCTCCCCTCTTTTTCCCCACCCCCCTTGCAACTATGGGATAGAGTGATAAAAGGAAACTACCTTGGGTTTGTGCACATCGTAGTTTGTGTTCACTTTTGACTTTGCAGAATGAAGTCACTTGGTTGAAAGACTCAGTATCATGAATCACAAAAATAGGAAAAAAAAAGTAAAATTAAACTGAGTTAATGCTGAATCCTAAGATAATAAAAGGGGATTTGCATTTGATTCCCACTTTCTAATTGCGTAGTAGAAAACAACCCTGCACCAGCAACAGAACTTGTAGATTTCTGTGAAAATGTTTTATCTTAAGTAAAAAAAAAAATAATAAAAAAAAATAGATTTAAAAAAAAGAAGTTAAAAAAGTGCTCTCTGCTTCCCCAATAGTTTTTGATAAGTGATAAAATATGAGCCGATGTCTATGGGATGGAAATGGTCCTATGTGCTTCAAGAAACGTACGAGCCTACAAATTGCAGAGTTGCTGGTTCCTGATAGGAAGACACATTTTAATAATTGTGCGAAGAGAAACTGCTTAAGTACACATTGCAGATCAAATATTTGGAGTTAAGATGTTAGTTTATATAGATGGGTGATTGTAACTTTATTGCTATTAAGAAATTTCAAACCGCATTTATGCTTCTGTGTACATGAAATTTAAAAACAAAAAAAATGGGCAAAATAATTAAGATTGATATTTCTTTTAAGTCTGCTTTGTTTAATTTTGCTGTCTGCTCTCCTATTATGTTGAGTTCCTAATTGTACACAGTTTAGTGATATCTAGAAGTATAAAGTTGTCGCCCATCAATAAAAGTCACAAAGTTGGTTTAAGGTGTGTGTGTGTGTGTTTTGTTTTTCCTGAAGTGTAAGTTCTACCCTTGGAAACTCAAGAAGTTACTGTGTGGCGCTTCTGCAAGTTGTATGGAACCTTCTCCAGATGAAGGTGAGATGGTTTTGTCTTTTACGACTTCCTGAAACTTCAGAAACGTTCCTGTTCAGCATTGAGATGGAGCTGACCTTGGAGAGGAGAGGGAGAGATCAGTCTGCCCAGAATAGCTGTGAGTCTGATGCAACATCCAAATGTAGAGTTGTTTGTTTATTGATCAGCAAATTGAATAGTATTTTCTGATTGAAAATTGTGACTAAGACACTTCTTGATATTTTTTTATTTTTTTTTGTCACATTCCACCAACTCTGAAACTATTTTCTGCCCAAAGCTTGTTTTGATTTTGGCCAGGGAAAAACCTCAGCTCCTGGCTGCTCCCTGGGCTCGGTGCCCTGAAGCTGGGGCTACCAAGGCAGCGTGCCAGGGGCTGCCAAAGGGCTGGGGCTTCCAGGGTTTCCCAGTGCAAAGCCACCCACGGTGGGAGTTGCCCCAGAGCCAGTCCTGGAGAGACATTGGTTTTCCTTTTGAATTTGAAACCTGGGGAGAGTGGGGTTATTCCAAGTAAGAAAGAAACCAGATTTTGAAATTGCAGTTTTCTGCTGGTTGTTATGTCCTGTTTCTGCACTCTGGTTAAAGTGGTTTTCTGTACTGCAGAAATCTGGTTCTTGCATTTCCTGTGACTGTTTAGTATTTACTTTACTTCCGGGGGACTGTGAAAAGATACTGCTCTGATAATGCAGGTTTACCAGAAGTTTCCAGATAGAACCACAGGTGATCAGTAATAAATAAATTACTTGATATCATGTCCTTGCCATCAACTTGGATTTTGACTGGGCAGGGTGGTTGGCTGATGATTTTTGACCCACGTTACTCCAAAAATTGTGGATTCACATTTGTGGGTAGGACATCAGGCCTGGTTGGGCCCCATGTTGTTGTTCTACTCTTGCCCTAACAGGACCCTTAATAAAGGATTTTCTAGCAAAAAGCTTCTGCCATTTCATTTCCTTAGCGAGTTGTTGATGGGTTTGTAATACAGGTCTAATCAAATTAATTACAGGTGTAATTAAAATCGCAGGTATAATAAAAGGGTTGGCTTTTTATTTTGGGGAGTGGTTGCTGCTTGCAAGCAGACTTGAGAATGTGCATTGAAAAGAATTTTGCTCTCTGAAGTCTCATGTTTTGATCTCTTGCGGAAGGAAATGCGGTGTTAGTCTCAGTCTTCCTGTGACTAAGGAAATAAGGCACCTCGGTTCTACCTCACTCACCCTCTGCAGAGGGAGAGTCTGACTCAGACACCTCTTTGTGGTCAGCAGCTTGGAGTGGAGTCTACAGCGGGAAGACCTTTAAAATGGTAAAGTGAGAAGAGGACAGGATGTAACAAAGAGTGGGATGAGAATGAAAGAACTTGTGTAAAATCAATGAGATTTTAAGTGTTAATTCACTTTGCTTTGCTCATGCTTCTGCTGAGGTTTGCTTAGACTTGCTGCCTATGTGATGGATTAATATTACAGTATCTGAAATACAGTTTCTAGTATAGTTCTGCCTAGTGTAGGCTTGGTGCTAAGAACATCTTATTCGGTGTTTTTTGCTATTGAGAGGTTTTTGGTGTTGAGATGGATGGTTTGTTCCTTGATGGCTGTGGAAGCTCCAAGTGTCCTCTGCATTATCACCTGATGTAAAAGGTGAAAATTTATTCCTATCACAACTCTGTTCTGGTATACAACCTAAACCTTTTTTGTTCATGAAAGACCTGTATAGGCATAGTAAAAATTGTCAGGATTGGAGAGGCCATAAGAAGAGCTCCTGCTGCAAAAATACCCTTCACTCTGTCAGCATATGCAGTTCTGCGTTTCTCTTGAACAGGTTACAAGTGTTAATGATTTTAAAGAAATAGCAATGAGTAATTGCCAGTTTAAAAAGCAAGTGTTGAAATCCTCTCTGCGTATGAAATGGAAGTTGTTCAGTGTTTTTGATTTTTCAATAAGGATATTACAAATGCACTTGTTGCTGAAATCTGTTTTCTGCAGTATTACTCAAAAAAAGAGTAAAAAGTATGTGGCAACAGCCTGATGTGAACACATAACCACAGGTTTGATTTTCTGTATTGAACTCCTCCCATTGTTGCAAAACAGGAGTTTAGCAGCTTTTTGATGATTTGCTTTGTTTGTGATGGTGTAAAAGAAACACAAACAGCCCCCAAGGCAACCCCTCCCCAGTACACCCTACAGCTGGTGGTTGTTTCCTTCAGCCAGGTTTTAAGAGTTGGTTTTTAAAAAACCCACATTAAACCCTAAAGCTTTGGATAGGAAAATCCAAGATGCTGCTTGAAAAAATCTTCCACCATGGGGATGATTTGATGGGGTGGGGGAGAAAGACTGAAAAGCACAAGGTATTTGGGGGTGGGGGGTGATCGGCTGGTTTTTTACTAGGAAATTGCCGTTTCCTAAACCATCCTCCCATGAGGATGCAGCTCCTGAGGCAGGGCAGGCAGGGGTGCAGCAGAGGGGAGGGAGATCGGCTGGTTTTTAATTAGGAAACTGCCGTTTCCTAAACCATCCTCCTGAGAGGATGCAGCTCCCGAGGCAGGCCAGGCAGGGCTGCAGCAGAGGGCAGTGGTGGCTCACACCAGGTTCCTGGTGTTCCAGCTCTGAAAGTGCTGCCAAAATTCCTGTCCCGACTTCGGGGAGATCCTGGGCTGTCGGTGAGAGGTTTGTCTTCCTAAATCTGCTGTAAATTTTGTTCAAAATAGGGATGGAGAGCGTGTCTTCAACAGACAATGGATGTTCCCAAGATGTTTGAGGATTCATGCAGCTGTGGGGTTTATTCCAGGTAGGAATTGGAAAACGATTTGTATTAGCAAATAACCAGACATCTTTGCTGCAGAGCTTGTAATTACAACTCACCTTTGGTTTTGAGGTGAAAACAGCAAAGATAAGTGTGGCAATATTTCTGAAGAGTTTCAGTCTGCAGATTTGTACCAGTTACTTTATTATTAACAAAGTATGTTTCAACATCTCTCATGGAGATGGAACCAGGAAACGCAGTGAACTGGCAAGAACAAGGTGAGGGGGTTTGTAGTTTTCATTTCTCATTTCATTCGCATTTTCATTTCATTTCTCATTTCACATTTCACTTGTGCCCCAAAGAGTGGTGCCCCCAAATTCAGCATTTAATTCCTGAATTTGCTACCTGTGTGCTTATTTCCTTGTCTTACCTAATTTTTTACCTGGGCACTGACAAAACGGTGCAGGCTTTGGGAAGTTTTGTGGGGAATTGTTTTCTTGCATAGCAGCAGCAGAGTAAACGTTTGGGTGAATGTTCTTTATTATGAGAAGGAGGAAAAGAGGCCACAGATGAGTCTGGGTGGCCACAGTCCAGGCTGCCCCAAAACAGGAGAGCAGCAAAAGAGAATAAATAGGGGTTCTCCATAAAATATTAGTTATATTTGGGAGTAAATCTTATACATGTCTGGCTTTAACTCCAGTGATTCGGGAAGTTATAGCTGAAGTTGAAAATCAAGACATGCTGTCTGCATGTTCAATTAGGAGGGAAAAGTGAAATCTGTGTCTTCTTATTCATTGGCTATTACATTAAAAGCCTTCTCTTCTAATATATACTTATATATGCAGCCTCCTTTATGTGGCTTTTACCACATATGAAATGGAGACGTTATAATCAAGGCGGTAATAACGCTGAATGATTAAAAGTAACTCCTGATTGTTTTGGCTTTGGTCAAATGTATGACCTGAAAGTGCTGACTTGAGACAAAATGGGGTGCATGAGAAGCCTCATTCCAGGCTGTGCTCATCCCCAAGCACAGCCATGCCCCAAGCATGGCTTGAACAGTGAAACCATACGGGTGTATAGTTAAAAAAAAACACAACTAAAAAAATTAAATCTTTCTAAAGCAGCAGGGTTGGTAGAGAAGTCAGACAGGCCAGACCATCCCACAGGGGTTCATTTCCCATAGGAATGTTTGTGGAGATTACAAAATACTGATTTTTTTTTTTTTTTTTTCTCTGAGATCTGGAAATAATTTATACGTTGGTGTGTGAGAAGTAAAACAAGTTCATTCAGCTTTCTGGTACTTGGAGTGAACTGCACCTTCTGAGGCTGTGAGTCAGGGCTGTGCAGCTTGGGGCTTGGGGGGGCAGCTTGTGCAAGGGCACGATGGATCATCACTGCTGGCCCTTGTTGTTTGGTGAAATTAGGAAACTGGGGTCTGCAGCATCTTTCAGCTGATGAAAATTTTGCAAATACAGCAATCTCATTGA